ACTCTAATAGAATTCCATCTTCACTTTATTACTTTTTTCTGTTTCAATCTGGACTTCTAAACACCTGAGACTGTGTTTGCTACAAATCACAGTTCTGTAGCTTTACTCTTTTCTTAACTGTGTTCACGTTAGCAAAATCTCCTCAGCTAGAATTGTGAATGTTTTCTTTAACCATTATCTGGATCTAAGATTTGTATTTATGCTAACTACCTTCTTCGGTACCATTTCCTACCTATATTAGTCTTTTTCACTATGAAGTGACAAAGATTATGCGTGGTATTTCAAAGTGACCTGGATAATCCTCTTAGAAGTATGAGCATTATTATCTCTGAGACAGAATATAGTCAGAATTTCCAAAGAACAGTGTTCTTTTACTATAGTTCCACTTTATAATTTATTTCATTCATAACCAGTTTCAGGTTTTTTACTGTTTACCTCTTTTGCAATATATAAATGATGAGCATTTATAACATAGAATATTATACTTACAGTATTAGCATGTGATACATTTATGTACATTAGGCACATGTCTTTCTTGGGAATTCATACGTACTGATGTTTACTATTACATAATTTTATTATTTACTTGATATTATTGTTATTTATATGCAAAGGGATTATTTAAATTTGTATTAAATTGCTGCTAACTTCAAAGGCAGAAGAATAATTTCCAAAGCAAGGAAAACACTAATTTATCCTGGACATAGTTAGTCCCTCATAGATTCCGCACACATCTACAGAGATGTAGATTCCCCACACATCATTATCTCACACATCCTGTTTCCAAACTGAAAATGGTTCTAAAACCTGTGATACTTTATGTCCTCAGAGATACAGGTATTGAAATTACCTGTGTATAGATAGTGCGTTTTTCTTTCCTGTGCGTTTTTCTTTCCTGTCCTCTGTAAATGCAAGTAAGTATATATAGTTTAATATTTCTTTTTTTGAATACTCAGCCAGTTTATTTACCATGTTTTATTTACCCAGTATACTCTTTCATTAATAATCAGCTGTGTTCCTGATGGAAAGAAACATCTCTAGAAGGTGTTTCAGAGGGTCTAAATCTCAGTGACTGCCTACTACTGTCTTCTTTGTGGACAATAGAGAGAGCGGAGCCTACCATTATTGGGTACCTGATCTAAAGTTAGGAATACTGAAGCCAAGCATTTTTTGCCAAGAATTTACTTTGAAGCTACACACATAAATTCATTCATACATTTCTGTTCTCCTTCAGAATCACACGCCTACATGAAAATGGGTATTTTGTGCATGTTTCCTGAATTTATTGGGCTGTAGTTCAGAACTTCTTGTTTCTCAACATCGTTTTATTTTCTTTAAATGTCCTCTTATATCGAAGTAGGTCCTGATGGCTGATTTTACAACTCTTCATCTCAGCTCTGAGTTACATACAGACTTTTGCACGGTAAAATTACTCAAGATTTTTTTCTTTTGCCTTTCTATTAGTATGTTACATTAGTAAGAATTTCTTGTACTGCATTTTCATATTGCTTCACTTGATATTCTGTTCTGGTTTATATTTAATACAGATAACTATATTCCAATTTGAACGGAATTATTTCATAATCCATATTATGTTAATTATTTGCTAATTATTTGGATCTTCCATAATGATTTCCTATTATCTGGTTTTTTGATTATGAAGCTATTATAAGTCTCCATTATTTGTCTGTCTTTCACATTCTCTATCAAAATTACTTTCTCTCTCTTTTCTGAGATAGTAGTGAAGCATTTTTTTTCATGCTTTGTTCTTCCTGATCTTTCAAAATCACCTGTGCCCCACAGTATTCACATCCCACTTTATGTCTCTTGTTGGCATGCAACTTCTTATCCCCTATTACTCTTGTTACTGACAGTGTATCTTTATTTTACCATTTTTTAATGTCCACAGTCATGTTAAAGTCTTTCTACTGGTCTACAGGTCTTTCTACAGGTCTCTGTAGTACAGACAAATACCCCTCACAAGCTTAGCTTGAAATCTCCCAAAATTGGAATAAATGCAATATTTTTTTCTATTAAGGAAATAGGTCACAGTTTGGAAATTACAATAGCTTTCTATAATAAAGTCTGCTTTCTATGAATAAAAGAAAAAAAAGCTGCTCACAATACAGGGTAGATTTTTCAGCTGGGTGATCAAAACCTGTCTGTGTAGGTAATATTACCCTGATTTAGGAAGTCAGCATAGGTAGCTGTCATCTGAGAACTGGGTCTTGCAAGCAATCATACTTGCTGGATTGGAAGGGGTCGTGGATATTCACTGTCAGCACCTCATTCCCTCTTTGAGACTATTTCTCACTCCACCTCACCTTTAAAGGAAATAGATGGGCTCTTCGTTTTATTCGTATTACACTAACAAGAAGACAATAAACAGCTGCTTTTTAGCATTCCTCATAAGTGCTGCTATTCCACTCCTTTCCCTTCATTCCTTTCTGTTGGGAAGCAGCAGTATAGTGCAGCCATTCTCTTTGTGAGCAATTTTCTGTGCTTTTGTCCTTTGACAACTCACCCGATTTTGTTTCTGTGGTTGAATATTGATGATTGCAGATAACAAAAGAAAAAGGTTTGTCTCATCTAATGATAACACTGTGCAGTGCTCACAAGCGGCAAACTTCATTACCCAAACACCTGTTTTTGAAAGGTGCATCTTTCCTGGCACGTCAAAGTGGCAGTCCCCATTTTCTGGCCTTGTGATTTACTTCATTTGGGATTTCCTGTTATGTAAAATACGGAACTGTTCATAGGGTTCACTCCTTCCCTTTTGTATGCAAACAGGATCAAAGAAAGAAGCAGTAATACTTGCCTGGCCAAAGCAGTCCTTTCCTCTGTCATACTTGCACGTTTCTGGATACAGATCACTGTGAATTGTTTTTGTGTACCTTTGATTACCTACCTACCTACAAGATTCTTCAGCAAATCTGTATAGGCTCCTTCCCTTTAAATGCTGCTATGAAAAAAAAGAAAAGGCTTGTCTACTTAAGCTAGAAGCAACTTCTGTACATGTAATAATAATAATAATATTAAAAGTATATTCAATATTATTATTAATATAAATGTTAATGTAATTTTTATTATTATTATTCAGCTACAGAACTGAAATACCTGTAATATTCAGCCTGCCAGAGACCAAGTATTCCTCTTTATTTTCTCCTATATGCTATTTTCTTAAATATATGGAAATTCCTAGTAATAAAGAATGACCCAAAGCTTCCCGTTTAATGGAAGGAACAGCAAAAAAAGCAACTATCCCTGAAGATGTACAGAAAATGATCTAGTTTACTGTAGTTGGAGTTACTATTCCAGAATTAATCTCTATTAAGTACATAGGAAGTGAAGTCTAGCAGGATTTAGGTAGATTGGGTTGTGTCCCCAAGGTTTTTATGGTCAGACAAGTAGTGGGATTCAGACCTATCTGTATTAAGCTCCCTGTCATTCTTCCGGAGAGTCAATGGCAGAATTGCTCTGAAACAGCCAAGAGTCATTTGAATGGGAGAGCTATACTGAGTAAAGCAGATTAATATTAAAATGCCTGCAATTCAATTTGCTTTCAGACTAATGTTTTCCCTGAGGATATTTTCAACTTTAAGGGCAATAAAATCATAAGCTTAGATTTGACAGCTTGAAAATTACATAGAAGATAAGATGTTTCCTTGTAGAGGAGTCTGTTTTTGCAACTAACAAATCACACCAGTTTGCCTGTAGGTTGCTAGCTAGATCTAGAAACTTGGAATTTGCCATTTCTTTTGCCTGAAGCATTTTGTTCTTTAACTCATTGGTATGAATTTGCTTATCCCCTGACAGTGTGCTCACCATTTGGTCTGACTTACCTGCAAAAATTATCCTCCAGCTTCTGAACATGGAAACTCAGATCCTGGCAACTGCTCAAAAGCATAACCATGAAACAGCACCAGATTTCTTTTCCTCTTTATCGCCTTTTCTCAGTCCTCCTTTTGATTCTTTGTGCTGTACTTTGAAAGGGGGATGGTAGGGAGAGATGAGTTAGTTCAAAGAGTGAAATTTGTGTATGAGTGATTGAATAGCAAAATAACTTGGCAGTTGGCCCGGTGGGAGACACTTAGCAGATACTACTTCCAAGATCTTAGAGTGCTATTTGACAACAAAATAATGGCTCATTAATGATAAGCAAAGTATATCTTTAAATGTCATTGATTATTTTTGTACTGTAAGGGTATTCATGTATGTGAATTTCCAAATCTTGTCCAAGGTGGACCGATAATACTGGAGATTAGTATAGATTATATGTTCGGGAGATACGTGCTTGTTTATTTGAAAGATGTAGTGGAGGCAGTCAGAGTCCCACTTACAGTTCAAATCCGGTGGAGTCTGCACATCTGGTTCACGTTGTCTGCTATATTGTGTAAGCTCTCAGGAGCATACACCTCTATTTCCTACTCTGTCAAGAGAATTTCTGTGCAGTTTCTTTTGTGTACAAATTATTGCATGTGCTGGAGAGGGACATACTATGGATTTTTATACACATGGTGTGGAATATAGTCCTAAGTTTTCCCTTTCCTTGAATTCGTGAAACATTCCCACTTCAAAACACTTTCCTGATTAATTTTATTTTTTGTGTTTTACATCTGGTTTTGCACACCATTACAGCCCAAGATCAGACAGCTTACTTCCGACTATTGATTTAGATACATTCATGGGCAAAGAAACTGCCTAAAACTTTTTACTCTTATGGAGTGGAGAGAAACAGCTTTCTGCTTCAGCAACTGCTTGTGCATATTTATTGAATAGCTTCTTTGAGGATGTTATGATGAGCTTGCTTATCAGTGAAAATGACTTGAAGTAGTCTCAGATCTCAATATCTGTGATTCCAATTAGGAATTTAATAAATGCTGAAACCTTTTAAATCTTTCATTTATTCATAATGTAGCATGACAATAAACTTTTTTTTTTTTTTTTTTTTTTTTTTTTGTTAGCTTGCAGAGCCTGCATCTGTGACCATGACATGCTTAACTTCAGAGAACTCATTATTACTTCCATTGTGCTCTAGCAGTTTTCATCCTTCACAGTCAGAGGTGGGCAACTGATTTTTAAAGACTTTTCATGCTCAAGGGAGGGATAAACACTCTTTTATTGTTTCATGCCCCAATAGGATAGCCAGGTCTTCTGAAACAGAAAAATAGGACAGCATTAGAGACACATACTTACCAGTGTTTTATTTTACCTTCTTACAGAAAGAGAAGGTAACTCTTTTCTTACTTTAAAGACAAGATACATGACTGGCTAATGTTGGAAATTGATGTTATTAAAAAGTTTGTCAGAGAATTGTAAGAAATATGGACTTTAGTTTTATATCTGGACTTCTCAAAAAGGATTGTTAACTGGATTCTTTCACTTTTCTCTATGGCTTTGCTGGCTCGAGTTACTGACCAGTGTTAGCCTGTGATAAGCTAGTTGATATGTGACAAGCTAGCCAAGACAGTTGATAGTTTCATAGCTTATTCTTGAGAAATATCTATAGCATACCAGCTGTCAGTGATGGTAATAGGTAATATGATTTCTGGTGTTCTGAGTTAAAAGGTAGATGTTCAAATGTATTAAGAGTGAATCAGCTTCTCACTGTAAATAAATAGTCCAGTGTACTTGTGAGAGTAGGAGAGGATATGCTTACCTTTTCATCATATGACTCCTGAAGATTCGTATCTGATACAATCTGCTAAGTACTTTCTTCATACAGCTGCCATTCTTGGGAGGTTTGTCAGCCTTCTTGCAAGTTCCTCTGAGCGAATTTTGCAGATCTGTTACAACTCCTGAGACCTTCTGCGTAGTACTATTTGGAGGACTGCTGCGTATGAGAAACTTGCTGTCATTCCTGCCCTGTGTGCTTCCTAGGCTGGTGCAATCCAGTTACAGCTTTCAAGGCAGCACTTTGGACATTTCAAGGAGGTACAGGCTTGCAGAACAAACAGATATCAGTAGTGTGCGCATTCATGCTTCTGAGCTCGAGACTTCCAGATCATCCAGTTGGTGGGTGTGTTAAATATATCCCAGAGACATTGAATATACCATACATGAACGAAATGCCTTTACAGGAAATGCAGAATTTATGTAATCCAGCTGTTATATGGCGTATTTGCATATAATTCTGTCGGAAGAAAGGTGGTGATTGTTGACATTGTAGTCAACTAAAATTGTTTAGATGACTGAATACTATCTCAGTAATTGTCTCCTCAATAGAATAATTTATTTCTGATTTACAGTCTATTTTGACATGAGACAAAAGGAAATTGTGGGGGGGGTGTGTTTATTATTTTTCTCAAAAAAGGTGAGAACTGATAACAAATTAGATCATTATCAAAATTACCGATGTTAGATGGATGTTTACTGTATTGCTTTTTTATGGGAGTAGGAAAATAAGTGGGAATTATCTTATTCTGAAACGTTCAAAAAATTACATCAAATTTTGGTCCTGCTTGAATAAGATTTACATTTTTGTCAATGACAGAAGTCATCAACTTTGGGCATGGCATTTGAGGACTGGGACTAACTTATAAATACAGGTACAGATAGAACCACACCTATTGCTTCATTGTCCTTTAAACTTCTACACCATAGGTCCTGTCTTTTCAGGCTTGTTAATTGCTGCTGTAAGTTTTTCTTTCTTCTCTTGAGAGTTGCTTCATGAAAAGATTAGATTCCAGAAAGCTGTAGACTTCTGTAGCTTTGAAGCACTCCATCCATCATATATGCCAAAAATATTACAGTGTGTGGCTTGATGCTTATTAAAAAAAAAAAAAAAAAAAAGAAAAAAAAGTTACTTTTCAAGGGAATAAAATTGTTATTTTTCATAATCTTTTTCTATAGATGCAGTTTTCCAAGAAACGGTCATGACTGGAAATAATCTAGGCATTCTGGTTTTGCAGGTTTAATGTTTTCAGGGGAGCTCATAAATAGAGATACCAGATTCATATTTTTTTCATTTTAATTTATTTTCCTTTTGGGCATTTCTGTCTTTTTCAGGCTATGGAAACTTTCTGTGTAAATCAGTAAATTAGAGAAATTTATGATTGTGAATGAGAATTGAAAATCCTATCTATCAAAACAAAAATCTGCTGTGTCATCATCACTAATGAAACCCTAGTGATGAAAAAAAAAAGATTTGTACATTTGGAAAGCCTCATGAAGCATTTTTTTTTCTGACATAATGCACCTTTTCCCTTCAGTGCTTTTTTTACCAGTGAATGATTGCCAGATACCCAGCAAAACTTCGGCAGCTCCAATAATGGAATTTTTTCTGAATCACAGTAAGAATTACCTCTGCTGGAGTTCAGCTCTGATAGATTCTGCCAGCACAAGGTCTGTGCCCCGTGAAATTCCTGTTTCGAGGGCGAATTTTACTCTTCTGGATAACATTTACATCTTGTAGCTAGCACACTACTTGTGCTTGAGTACCCTTGCACATCTGAATCACGGCACTGAGTTTTTGATGGAAACCTGCCAATTTTATAAAGAGTAGGGATTTTGTTAAATGTACATTTTATGATGCCACTTAAGTAAAAGAGATGAGGCAGAGGTTTAATAAGATGGTTCATCACTGCAAAAATAATTAAAAAATATTTCCTACAAGATGAGCAGGACCTTACAAATGCACTTAACTCTTTTTGTAAGTATCTCACCTTATTTATAAGAATGAAGTAAGAGAAATGTAATCATCACCCTTTGTAAATTGCACATAACAGTCATCCATTGCTGTTCTGTGCTATCCTATTCTTTGTACAGAACGATTGACACAAAATGGACACAAATGGAACAAAAAATCAACGAATTCATCATATCCCCACCAAAAAGAAACACAAAGAACATACTGAAGGTCTGATGTTCAATATGAACAATTCTATGTTTTCCTTAAAGAGATGTTCACTGTCATCTTTAAATACTGTCTATAACATCAGTAGTAATAAATAGCCTAAATAAATGACAGCAGATCACCTGATTATAAATTAAATTGAAGCCTGATTTTGTTCTTTTCACACATTCCTGCTTTTGCTTATAGGAAATTAAACTATTTTGAAGTTGGTATCTGTGCTGCACCCACTTGTAGCAGCTTTAATGAACAGAGTATAAACATTTTTAAGTTGCTTTTCTAAATGCTCTGTTCTCCCCGGTTCATTTTTCTTTGTAATTTTCTGTATAAAATAAACACTTGGGAACATGACTGATGGGTTTTTTTTTTGGTTTTTTTTTTTTTCTTACACAGTTCTGGTTTTAATGAAAATGAAAAGTTAAATCTATCTTTATGCACAGGCTGTAGGCAGACTGCATTAATATTTGACATGTAATCAGTGTATTGCATAGTCATATTTTTGGGAAATGTAATGCTAGATTTGGTTTTGTTGCTGCAGATAAAAAAATATACAAGTTGAACTTCAATTTACTTGAAATTTTGCTTTTAAAAATGGTAATATTCTAGAAAAGAGGGTTGCAATGAACTTTGAGAGATCATCCTGCTAATCCTTCCCTAGAGCATGAGATCAGATGTACTTGAACCATTCCTGCAATATTTTTATTTAGTTATTTCTTAGGAAAAAAAGAACAAAACACCTCTAGTGACAGAAGTTCACAGCTTCTGTAGGCAGTTGATTTCTGTGAGCTGCTTAAGGGTTTCTACTAGTGGAAAATTCTTTTTAGCATGTAACCTAAATTTTTCTCACCGTGAATTAATCCCATTACTTCTTGACCTATGCACATTAAACATGGATAGCAGTTTGTTTCCATTCTCTGTTATTTTTATATGTGCATATATACTTATATGTATTTATTTGTGTATATATATATAAGTATATGACTGCATGTGTTGCCTTCTCTCAGTCTTTGCTATTCTGGGCTGGAATGACTTCAATTTTCATAGTCTATAGGCCATATTTTCTGGATGTGTGATCATTCTTATTGCTGTCCCCTGAACTGTCTCCATCTGCTCCATGTTTGGTTTTTTTGATGTATTGTACCCAAAACTATAAACAGGAGACCACAGGAGGCTTTTGTAGTCCTTGAGCAGATTGGATGGAACAAATGCTCCTTTATTGTATTTATCTCAAGCCATCCTCCACTGGCAATATAAGTTAGGGAAGCCTTATTTTAGCTAACAGAGCCTTCTGTTTCTGAAATAAAAATGAAAACTTTACTAGTAACTTGAGCTGAGGAACATTAGAATCAAGCTTCAGTCTCTGGAATAAAGAAGATGTATACCTAGCAACTAGTGTCAGGGATCTTTCAGATATTACATGGTTCTGAAGGTTACATCATCAAAGAAAAACAAACAAACAAACAAACCACAACAGCACAGTGGGAACAGCTATTTTTCTGTAAAGTACATTGTCTGTGTTCTCAAAACTAATCTAGCCAAGCCTACTTTCCGTATGTTCTTACAAATTAGTATGTGGAAAATACACTGAGATACTTCTGAAGATAGGATGCAAGGTAATGGAGATGTGTCATCAGCTTTTGACCTTTCCTACTATCTCTTTAGATCAGTTCACCACTGTGGCTGATAGTGTCCACTTACCAAGATATTGATACATACAACAGTAAGAAATATTTATTCTCCTTTCAGTGAATGGATGACTTGGTCATGCATATGATTGTGTGACTGCTATTGCACCCTCAGTAACATTAACACATGAAATACATCTTCCTTTGGCTTTACCTTACATTTTCATTTCTTATTAGGCTTTCCTGTAAGAATAAACATACCCTAAGGTATAACTTCTTTTTGGTATATCCTGCTTATATTTCTCAGACAAATTATATCATTAAGGAATATACAACCTCGATGAGATTTTCAGTAAGGTTAAGTTAAAGTCCAGCATTAAAATTGTGATTCCCAGTCTGTGTTTGTTGCTCTGATTTTTGGAATTTAGAAACACAAAGTATTAAGCTAAGCTGCAAAAATCCACTCTGTTCCACATTTCCTGCTTATTGAAAAATCTACATTGCTTTTATATGTCAAATATATTCCCAAAAAGGCTCATATAATCAAGGTAATACACATAATTTTTTTTCAGTTGTGGATATATAT